AGGAGAGAGAGAGAGAGAGAGAGAGAGAGAGAGAGAGAGAGAGAGAGAGAGAGAGAGAGAGAGAGAGAGACCCTGCAGGTTATCTGGAGGGTCCTCGCAGCAAATTAGCGTAGAGTCGTAGACCCTCCACCAAATCGAGGCAGGCGTCGAGTATGTAGAGCAGGAGCTGGCCGAATATATACTCTGGATTCAAATTCAGGTCTGTTTCAGCAGTTATGGGTTGCTCACTTAGCTACGCCCTGTTGGTCTCTGCGCGTGATTCTCAGGGCTTGGCTGCGCTACTCACCAAATGTGCAAAATTAGAATGCATCTTCTCCTATAACATGGAACCATACGCCGCCATATGTTTTGCCTTTGTGCATGTGGTGAGTAGAGGCCCTTAGGGCCGCTGCACGTATTCCGAAGAAAAGGAAAACGAAAAAACAGAGAATCACGTGCAGAGAGCAACAGGGCCTAGCTGAGTTAGAGACCCATGACCGCTGATAGACAGACCCGAATTCGAATCCAGAGTATACAGTCTCGGCCCACTCGTGCAGAACTGGAAGCCTAACGCCTACCTCTGCTTCGGGATGGGTCCTTGCTGATTCGATGTAGGGGCCCTTCGGAAAAGAGACTGGACACAGTTAGGAAATGCACACCCGCATGCACACACATGCACACACAGTTTTGGGGTATGACGTGGCCCCAACTTTTTTCCCTCTTGCGGTTTGATTTTAGAAGCAACGGGCACGTTTGGCCACCCCACCCTGTCCTTTCGGAAATTTTTATTCCAAAAATGACGGGCCTCATCATGTGGGCGCGCATGCGTGCGCATGCGCTATGCGCAACACGTGCGCAGTGATGCGCTGCAAGTATGGTCGGGAGCCATCGGCGGTCAGATGCTACGGGAGGATGCTCTTATTACCCCCCGCAGCATGGCCCGGCGACCTTTTTTTTTTTTTTTTTTTAATTATTATTTTTATATATGTAATGCTCATGTCGCTCAGAACATCAACAAACTCTCTGGTGAAACATGGTGTGCCAGAAAATGGGCGATGGCAGCCACAAGAATGTCACACACTATAAAATGGAATACGTAAAAGAGAGCCAGAATCCAGGCAAGCAGCACACTCTGCAAGAATGCTTGGCGAGATGCACAAGGATGCTAAGCATGCTTGCGTGAAAGTACTTGGCAGGAGCCAAAAAAGGTCAGCAAGCTGTCACTGCACACTGAGCACTTCTTACCAATGACCTTTGAGGAGGGATCAGCACACCCCAAATAACTTGTTGGCGCCCACAGACAAATGAAATTTGTAAGAGAATACGGACGCAAAAAGAATAAATGTGCTAATAATCAAATATAATGAATTCAAGATGACTGTCATAAGTGACAGCAAGCCTACATGTTTACCGTGTGCATTCCCCTTGATCTCCTCTTGTTTATTTTCATAGCAAGGTGCCCCATTGCTAAAAAGCACACATGCAAGCGCACGTCGTGTGGGAAATCAAGGACTGTTGGCGCACACCCGCACACCTACAGCTCGGCGCACCACCTGCACGGCGTACAAGACCCCAGCCCCCCCCTCTCCCCAACAACAAAAAAAAGACACGGAAGATGTCTTTTTGTCGGTACCGCCCCCCCCAGCAAAAATCCGTTCACAACTTCACGGCCTTAAAAAGAAATTGATGGGCCGTGCTCAAGTGCGACCTGAAACGAATCTGACTTCGTTTCTGTGCAATCAGGTGGGAAAAAGAAGGCAGGGTTTCAGAGGGGGCCGTGTTTTGGGTTTTGTTATCGTCTCTTCAGAGTGGGGCGCTTCTTTGGTTTTGTTTTTGCCGCAGGCCCGCCTCCAGTCATCAGTTCGAGGAAGCACCGCCGCCATCTCCGTTGCCTTCGTCTTCATCTTGAGCGCCAACCTCCCCCTCCTACAGCCACCATCAACAAGCTCCGGAGCTACGACCAGGATGGACTTCGATCGTCCTCCTCCGAGCCAGGTGAGTCTCCACCAGCCCTCCTGCCCTCCCTTGAACTCACCTCCTCCACCTCCCCTCCTCCACATCTTACCCCTCCTCCTCCTCTCTCTCCTCCTCCTTGTCCTCCATCTCTTCTCCTCCTGGTCATGGTATCATCCTTTTTTTTGTATGGGAACTCGGAATGTCGGTGGTATGTCCTTGTGACCTCCTCCTGTTCCTTGTGACCTCCTCCTTCTCCATCTCCTCCTCACCTCCACCAGTCCTCGTGATGTCCTCCTCCTCATGGAAACTTTGAACTGCGAGTGTATCTCCTCGTCACCTCATTGCACCTCCTCGTCACCTGGTCCCCCTCGTCACCTCCTCTCCTCGTCCTCCTCCGTCACTCCTCGTCTGTCTTCCATCCTCCTCTCAATCTCTCCTCCTCCGCCCTGCCTTTTTTTGTTTTCATGGAAACTTTGAAGTCCGAACTGTGCTGGCATCTCCTCCTCGTCATGTCCTCGTCATCCTCACCTCCTCCTCACCTCCTCGTCACCTCCTCCTCACCTCCTCCTCACCTCACCTCCTCCTCATCCTACTCCATCGCTTCTACTTTATCTCTCCTCCTCCTTGTCAGGGCCTCGTCACTTTGTTTTTTTTTTTTTTTTCATATTCAGCTACGAGCAATCTACGTTTTTGATCTCTAATGACTTGATTTGACATATGGCTAAACTTCTTTCTGTAAAAACCCGCTCCACAAAATGGAAGTTTCATTTTGGGTTTTTGCTGTGTTTTGCATGCTAGATCTTCTACTTTTTTATGTGTTCTTTGAAAGTGTTTTAATCCCTATGTTTATTATTATAGGGGTATGGGGTTCTAGACAGAGAAAAATACGAGCAGCATATCAGTTTTTCTTATATACTTTACTTGGATCCGTTTTCATGCTTTTAGCTATAAGTCGAAGTACTCCATGCATAGATGGATGATGAGGTCCCATACTCACTATCATTGAATTTGTTTTTCTAATAAGCATGGTAAAAGAATATTCCTTTGAAGACTAGTGATAATCATAATCAATTAATTCAATATTCAGATTTCTCATTTTGATGCATATTTATTTTATTATTCGAGTTTATTATTCACAGATTATCTAATTTCTTTATTTTGGTACATATATTTTACTATTTTATATTTATTTTCTATTCTATATAAAATATAGATTAAAATATATCAATTAGAAATTAATTATATATTGTATCTATCACTTTTTATTTATTATTTGTTTCTTTATATTATATCCTGTCTCTTCTTTACATTATATCCTGTTTATATTCTATTATATCCCATATTATTTATTATATATTGTTTAGATGTATTCTATTATTATTACATTCATCTATATTCAATTTGTCCATTAGTAGTCAACATATCAATATTTCAAAGAATACTATCCCAACCGAGGTGAACAAGCTATTCAACAACAAGATATTGAAAGCTCTAAAGCATGGTTCAATCAAGCTGCGGAATACTGGAAACAAGCTATTCAATTAGCTCCTGGTAATTACATTGAAGCACAAAATTGGTTAAAGATCCTATGTGGCGGCAAGGAATGTTTGTAATTCCTTTTATGACTCGTCTAGGAATTACAAAATCATGAGGAGGCTGGAGTATTACTGGCGAAACTATTACAAATCCAGGTATATGGAGTTACGAAGGAGTTGCAGCTGTTCACATTATATTGTCAGGGCTACTTTTTTTAGCAGCAATAACCAGAAGGTTCGATTAACAACTTTTGAAAGTTGAAAAGAAATTGTGAATCAGTCGTTACGGAGAACATATTCTTCGATCTTTGACGCGGTCTTCTTATACAACCCGCAAAGTATCTGCCAAACGACTTAATTCAATATTGTATTCTACATTCTATAATAAATAAAATAATCAAAATAAATAGGATAAAAAATAGAATCTAATAGAATATAACGAAATAAAATAATTTATAATATGTATGTTTATAAATATCTTCTAATGTAGTTAAATTAAATCTAATACGACTAGGAGTCAGTCGAGCCGCTCGCCTTAGGAACTAACTAGATCCTCAATTGAAATGAAATTGGGTGAGTACTGGCGTATTAGCATGAAATCAATCATGCTCTCCTCTTTCGAGTCAGTCGTTACGGGGTCTATGAAGGCGCTCGCGTTCATTGAATTGCTTTCTTTTCTACATACAATCCACCGACTTCCCACGGTATTGCCATGGTTCTTTGTTTGTATAAATAAGAACTAACGGTTCCACCGTTATGAGCCAGTTTTTCTATAAGCGCTCACGCGCCTTTTGATCTGGGTAAACGTTTAAGTGCGAAACCAGACAAAATTCCGCTTGGAATCACTGACCAAACTGTAGAAGATTGGGAAAAATCAGTATTCATTCTTGTTTGACTCTTGGATTGAGATCTACAGACTCTCGAAAAACTAGTTTCTTCTTTTTTACCACATTGCCTACTTTATTACCTTTAATTCTTTTTTGTACTTCATATCAAACTGAGGACGAAGCTATGACTTTGTTCATGGGATATCTTCTTCGTGTGTTGTACGCTCGACGAATGGGACTAAGCAGGGCGCTAGCCAGACTTCTGAGGCCTCTGCTTTGACATGCACCGATATTCATAACCTAAGGAGCGCTAGCTATGATGAATTTCGGGCCAGTGGCCTATTCAGCAGTCTCATGAAAGACATTAATCTATGGATTGCTGCCTATAAGATGCTAGCGCCTAATCCAGG